GGAGCCTCGAGCCTGTTTTTCTTTGGAGAAAGGCCTGTTGCAATGGTGTTAGATCAGAAGGTATTAGAAGTTATCTGTATTCCTGATCGGATTCGTATTCCTAAACTGACCCTCATTTTATTTTTTTAAGATTTGATTGATTGATTGATTTGACAGAGAGAGAGAGAGCATAAGCAGGGGGAGGGGTAGAGGGAGAGGGGAAACCAGGCTCCCCATTGGAGCCCGACTTGGGGCTGGATCCCAGGGTCCTGGGACTATGACCTGAGCCAAAGGCAGATGCCCAACCAACTGAGCCACCCAGGTGCCCCCCGACCCTCATTTTAACCAAAATCTTGATGCTCAATCCTAAATCCCAGGCCTTACCCAAATCTGACCATTTATTTATACTGTCTCTAAATTCCCACACGTGCTCACCAAATCTAGCATCACCGAGACCCAGAAGTTTCTATTCATTCTTTTCTGAGTTCTACTTCGCTACTTTCTGTTCCTCTCATGATCTGGACCTGCATTAATTCTCAAAGGATTTTTAAAAATATAATTGCAAGGCGCCTGGGTGGCTCAGTCAGTTAAGCATCTGCCTTTGGCTCAGGTTGTGATCCCAGGGTCCTGGGATCAAGCCCCAAGTCAGGCTCCCTGCTCGGCGGGGAGTCTGCTTCTCCCTCTGCCAATGCTCCACCCCTGTTTATGCTCTCTCTCTGTCAAATAAATAAATAAAATCTTTAAAAAATATATAATTGCATTCAAAGCATACAAAATATGAATACATTCTCCTAAAAAGTAACTATAAAAAACGTAAAAAAAAAAAAAAACCTTTTTAGGGGTGCCTGGGTAGCTCAGTTGGTTAAGCGCCAGACTCTGGATTTCAGCTCAGGTCATGATCACAGGGTTGTGAGATCAAGCCCCGTGTCAGGCTTCCCACTCAGCATGGAATCTGCTTGAGATTCTCTCCCTCCCTCCCTTTGCCCCTCCCTCTGTTTGCTCTCTCTCTCTCTCTCTAAAATAAATGAATAAAAAAAAAATT